GTCTGACGCGTCTGCCTCCGCGACCCGAAAGGAGAAGCGGCGATGGAAGATGAAGAAGATGAAGATGAAGCTACGCTTCAATGCCTTTTCAATGTTCTTTGCTTCAAACGGGATATACAGCGCAATTCAATTGTTGCACTCACAAAACTTACTTTCTTCTTTGCCTTTCTGTATTACGTAGTTACATTGCTAAAGTAGCCCGCTCTTGAAAATACTTGTGCAGGCTGTGCATCGTAACTACGCTACACTTGCTCGAAAACTGTTAAAACGACATATTGCTCATTGGCCCAGCAGATGTCAATGCCTCAACGGCTATCTGTGTCGTTTGATGCTCTTTTTGGAATTTTCTGCTTCTGTTTTGTGTGCGCATCATTATCGAATTGAAAAACAACATGAGGCAGTCTAAACTTATTTTTAACGGAAAAAGTGCATTACAGAAAAAGTAAGGAAAATACGACAGCGAGGTCAAGAATGACTTTTGCCATCCCGCTTCAGATCAAGCAGAATCACTACTTCAGTCCAGCTAAAAATTTATAACTTCTGCGTTGCTGACTGGTTCGCAACACTATTTAGCCCCTTCGTCAAAAAAACACTGCTGCTTCTCCGTACTGCTGATCTTGTTCCGAATTTGACAGAACTTGCGCAGTGACGAATCCGTTTCAATTTAATTTACCTATTAAATTTTCACGACCTGAAAAGACAAGCAGTTATGGATGATGAAGATACAAGTTAAACATATACACGAAAGCGTGATTAGTTCAGCAAACCTTTACGAAATTTAAATTTAAACCAGCATTTCGTTTCGCCTACAATTTTTTCGGAAAGCGCTCCGTCTTCATCTATTGGTTCTATTAGCATTTTCAAAAAATGAATTATTTGTAATAGGCCATCTATTGATGAGTCTAATTATGCTCAACTACTCACGGGAGCAACTACCACCAATCGGGATATTGAAAAGGAATGGAAGTAACAACATAGCACACATCATTTCTGCATCGCTCACTGCAGCCACATAAGGCAAGACTTTCGTCGTTTTCAAAGGAACAGATCTGCACTGCCGTCAAGAATTCAAAGAAGCAGTTTTCTTGCAAGGTCTTAAGCATCAAGATGCAGTTTGTAGACCTCCTCTTTCAGTGCAATCTCAAATGCCAGAATTTTCGAGGATTTTTTTCTTTCAGTTTTTCCAGCTATAGAGAAGGTACAGAATTTTGTAATAACGAATCCATGGTTTCTTGAAAATAAGCATCGATGAATTACGGTCCACAATTTTATTTGAATTCATAAAAATGACGTTTGTCACATAATGTGCTGACTGTTGAAAATGTTTTGATTATTATAGATGAGCCTCATCTGAACTGATTCAACTGATCCTTTTGAAACATAAAACTGCCTATCACTGACTCATTTAACTTTGTTGTGAAACTGAGGTAAAGTGATCGCTGTCAAGAGTTAATTGAAGATTTCTTTCCTGTAATATGAACACGCCCTATTAGTAAGTGCTTTCTAACAGAAAGTTCCATTTCTTCATTCATAAAATGAACATAAATATATAGGGTTAAAGAGTTGTTCACGACTGCATCACAAAAAGAAAAACATAAATTAAATAATGAATAGAATAAATAACATAAATGAATATACCATGTAGCAAATAATGAGAGTAATATATGCCTTTCTGTGAGGAGCTGGAGAAACTTCATAAGTTTTAATTCCGTTGACAAGAGAACAAAC